GCTGCCGCTCGCTGTTTGCCTTCCTCCGCCGCCGGCCGCCTTCCGCCGTTAGTCGCCGCCTGTCACCCCGCATTGTTGATCGCCATCGTCCACTTGCCGTCGCCGCCCAACACCGGCCACCTCTTGCCGCCAGTCGCCTTCATCCGTCCTCTGCTGCCTCCCGTCACCACCCAACATTGGCTGCCTTCCGTCACCACCCAACACCGGCCACCTACGCACCCGCTTGCCTCCTGTCATCATCCTCCACCGCTAGGCGCCTCCCGTTGCCGTCCTTCGCCGCCTACTGCCGCCTATCGCCGTCCTCCGCTGCTGCCTAACGCCGGCCACCTCCTGGCGCCGCTCGTCTCCCAGCATCGACCGTCTCTCGCCACTGCTCGCCGACCGCTCAGGAGGAAGAAATTGTGTCATTATGAAACAAATTTTTATTTTAGAAACAGAAATTTTGTGTCGTTATGAAACACATATTTTGGCTCAGAAACTTATGCATGGAATAGAATAGAATAGAAAAATCTATTTCTGGAACAAAATGGTTGTCATTTGCGCCCTTAGAAACCAAATAAGGCGTGAGAGTATGCCTTTCTTCCTACGCAATCAGAGTTTTCTAGGTTCGAGGACTAAATTACACCAATTACCTAATTAATGCCATTTCGGTATCTAAACTTGATTGTTTATCAACTAAGGTGTCCACACGGTCCTCTTGTTCAATTATTGGTCTTAGGGTTCTCGTTTGTTAGAAGCGCGCATGATAACCATTCTGTTTCTTTATTTTTTTATTTTTCTATTCCCGAGAACACGTTTGAAATAGAAATCCGTTTGATAATGTGATTTCATTTTTCTATTTTTGGAACAAATTTTTAATCCAAAAATAGGTTTGGAATAAAAATGAGAAGTAAAGCTTTTCTCCTTTTTTATTTCTGGAACCAAAAGAGAAATAAAAACTCTTCTCAACGCTCGCCCTTGCCTCCCAGTGGCTGCCACTCGCCGCCATCACCCCCCGCAGGCCATCACCCGTCGATGAATTGAGAAAAGCGTAAGAGGGAGAAATTTTGTGTTGTTATTATACGCATATCTCTGTTCAGAAACTCGTCCATGAAATAAAAATAGAAAAATTTACTTCTGGCCAGAAATCTATTCTTGGAATAAAATGGTTATCATTTGCCCCCCTAGGGTCTATGCAATTTTTTGTGTGTTTATTATGGTCCTTTTCCTTAACCATGCTACAAAGGAAAAGAACAATCAATATATTGAAAGTGCGGGAAGTAAATACCAAATAATTGAAAATGCTTAAAGTAAGGTAGGATAAATAAAACTCGATACTTGTTGAGAAAATAATATACAGAGGGCTGGAAGTCCTTGCCGCCGCCCCACCATCGCCGGGAGGGGCCGATGAGAGTGGTGCGGTGGCGGCAGCTTGACTACTCCTCCTTTTTTATAACTTTTTTTAACTTATTTTAAATAATAATTTAAATTTAGGCCAAAACGATGTTTTAGTCTTTTATATAATAATTTAGCCACGTCATCACTACACAGGAGAGATAAAATATTAAAATAAGTCATGTCAGCGCCCCGTCTACATTTTCCGTTAGTAAATTAGACGGTGTTACCTTTAGAACTCGATTGAATCAATTTGATAAATTTTACGACTTAATTGTACTTTTTACAAGTTTTAGGACTTAATCATATTTTCTTGATAAATTTTATGACTTCTAATGAACATAGATCCTCAAAGAATGAATACACTTGTCCAAGCCCCCGAAAGTCGCGCTTCCGGTCAAGGCGACTCAAACCTTTCTTTTCTACAACTGATATGCATCATTAGATCATGCACGCTCCACATGACATCAAACGATGGGGATGGAGCTCGCGCACAGATTCGGTGCAAACAAGGACTGGTCAAAGCTTATACATACACCCTTCGCCAGTTCCGAAAAGTCAAGCGCATGTAAGTCAATGGGGAAAATGCTTTGACTCACTCTAAATCAATGAGGGGGTCTTACATTATGTATACATATAGATCGCGCTTGCCCATATCACCATTTGAAGATATATTATTCCTATGAGAAATTTATTATGTTTAGATGCTCAATGACGTTGTTCTTCCGGTTCCACTACTTAATGAGATTGTTTCGGTTTTGACCAAAAAAAAAAGATATATTATTCCTATTATCCCCCAAAACAGTCTTCCTCAACACGTTATAGTTTTGTCCCCGGGAGAGTGAATTTTGAAAATGAATGAATGAATAAATATCGTTGACCGAAAAAATAAAAAGAATGAATAAATATTTCAAAGCTCTTAACTGGGTCTCCTTTCGATCACGGACTCGACCCCTCTTATAAACAATGGGCGGTTGAGGAATGGGACGTGAGATTTAAGCGTGTGTATAAAATTATTGGCGAAATTATCCAAAAAGTCATAAATATATTGTATGGCCGCCAATTTAGTTAAAAACTATCTAATTTGACTAATATAATTCTAAGCCTTTTGGTGATTTTCTAACATAATCCATCCGGCCAATTTAGGATAGCAATTGCTGATGTGACATGGACAATCTTAAATGAAACAACATCGTTTTGTAATTTCTGTTAAATTTTATGACTTTTCCTTCTTCTTTTTCCTTCGATTTTTCCAATTATGTCCTCTACTTTCATCTTCTTCTCTCCGCTGATCAACGGAGCCTCGACGATTTGCCGGCCACAGGCGAGGGTCGCCGGCCATCATCAAAGCCCTGGCGACCCCTATCAGCTCTTTTGAGAAAGACGAACAGTGAGGAATAGGAAAAAAAGAAGATAAGAAATCGAAAAAAATTATAAAATATCTCAAAACAACGTTATTTTAAGTGGAGTCGAACATATTAGATCAACGGTTGTGCCACGTAGAGCGGCTGGCGCTAACCAAACCGCCATGTCAGCGATTTCTTGTCTAAATTTATCGAACGGACTGCATTGAAAAAGTTGTCAAAAAGTTTAGAACGATATTGGCCAAATTAGAAAGCTTATAAATTATTTGAATTAGCACAATAAGTCTAGGACCTTTTTTTAACAATTTTCCCTACAAATTATTTTTCATTGCCATTATCCATAAATTTATATTAGGCTATATTTTCGTTTAAGGTGAGATCACGTCTGCGTCACATGGACGGTCTTCCAAGCAAATTAAACATCGCGGAAACGCGCGAGGAAGATTAAAAGAAGATGTAAGGTACGACCACAAAAAGAAATCAAAAGAAGAAGTCCCACTGGGGACTTTGACATTGCCAAACTCACTTTTTTTATCCTAATATCGGATGCACAGGATCGAATACAAGAATTAGTACGCGCCATACCATTTTGTAATTTGGTAAGTACATTGGTATCAATTCAGTTATAAATCTTTCAATCATACCAATTTAGTTATAAACCTTTTGATGTGGATGTCGGTGATTCTACGTGACACCAACGCTAACTGCTGGCACTAACATAGATATTTTTTTATAATTTATAATTTATTTTCTTTTTTCCTTTTTTCATTTTTTTTTACCCTTTTCTTTTTGGTAGTGGCCGGTCGCCGGCCATCGACCACATGCCATGGCCAGCGAGAGTGAGCACCGACAAGAGGGCGGCCCTCGCCCAGGCCAAGCCACGACAATTTATAATTTTTTGGTATTCATTTTTTTGTGATCTAGAATATACTATTAATCTAACAGTAAATTAAGGATTGTCACTTAATCATTTCTTTTTTCGTTACAGGAGGATTTGAAAAGATGTCTCTTGGCAAATTCTCTTTTGTGTATTGGAGAATTTTTAAAGGATGGAATGTTGAAATTTAGATGGTTGCGAAGATCACCTCATTTAACCACTGGAATTTGCCCCAGTGGCCACTCTTCTTACTTGTGAAACGGGAGGTAGCGAGTTCAATTCCCTATCTTTTCAAGGGGGCTAAGGGTAACGTTTAGTTTTAGATGTAAGTTTCGACTTCTAGGCTCTGTAAAGAAGCATGACAAAAGTATGAGAATGAGTTGAGAGTTATAGTAGGACAGACAAAAAAAAATCACCTCATTTACGCCTATGAACCGTTGACCAAGCATTGAGGAGCAATTATTTTACAGAAGACAAGCTTTCATGTGATGATCCATGATGGCAGAGGAGATGATTATTCTTACACCGGTCCCATTAGCATCAGGACCATTCGTGACCTCGACACTCGGAAAATTTCATAGGATAGGAAAGAGAGGAACTGGTATACGCATTATCGAAGTGTAATACGATATGCACGGTTCCGGAATTTCGACATAACTCCAAAATGATGGAGATCCCTCCTTCCATATTGACATAGTAATACAACAGGCATTTCAACTAATTCTCTTGTCTGCGGCGAGAGGGTGGTCAATGGTCGGTGGCCGGTGACCGGCTGCTACCAAAAAGAGAAGGGAAAGAAAAAAAAAAAAAAGAATTATTAAAAAAAAAATATCCATATCAGCGTTGGCTGTGCTATGTAGGATCGCCGGCATCCACGTCATCAATTTCCAGCTTAATTTGGCCTGATGGACTGAATTAGCACAATTACAAAAAGTTTAGGACTAAATTGGTCCAATCGAAAGGTTTAAGGCTAAATTGGTACAAATGCAATGAGTCCATGACTTTCTTTGGTACCTAATCCCACATTAATTCAACTGCACAAGTTCGCGATTATTCTCGTGACGTGCGCAAAGATTATTCGATTACTTAGCTACATAATTCGACGCTTGCAAAATGCTTTTCTTTGACGAAGGAATGACGGGGGACGTTTACTTCTTCATCGGATATCTTAAATTAATCTCAAACTTAGTCAAATAATTCACGAGAGAAAACAAAAACAAAACAGAGAGAGAGAGAGAGTCTACGAAAGGCCTGTTCCAAGCCTTGTCCCTTATCTCTCCTATAAAACGAGAATGGTCAACTCCAAAGCCCCCCATGTTTAAACCTCTTCTAGCCCTAAACTCCGAAAACGCCACTAAGACCGTAACAATTCCATACGCACGCGTATGGAACCAGTCGAGTCCTTCAGGGACTACGGTAAGGCCGACACGCTCGAGGATCGCGAGTTCAGGAGGCAGACGCGCATCCGCGTGATCATCATTGTGGTGTCTTCCTTCGTGCTCTTGGCGGCGATCGTCACCACCATCAAGGGAATGGTCCTAGAGGAACGAATCGATGATGCCAACTCGAGCTCGACCACCCAGATGACTCAGGCGGCATCGATCAGGGCCGTGTGCAGCGTGACCGAATACCCCGGCTTGTGTTTCTCCAGCATCGCGACGCACGAGAGCTCCTCCAACACCACCGGCCCCGAACAGATCTTCAAGGTCTCGCTTCTGGTCGCCTTTAGCGGGGCGGCCAGCTTCTTCAACTATACGAGCCAGCTTGTCACGCAGGTAGGCTAAACTAAACATGGATGATCATACATTCAACTACAGATGATCCGCCAAATGCGATTTTTACGTACAGATATCTGTTTGATGATGCCTTGACATAAGACCAACTTCTCTCAAAGATTATTCAGCAATTCCTGGACCTAAAATAAGCCCAGAGTTTGCTTCCACACGAGTTTTGGAACTCGTTGAATCTGAATATATCAAATGCAACTGTTCATTCAACAATTAATTAACCTCGCGTGTATAGGTGAGCGATCCTCAAGAGCAAGCAGCTTTCGGAGTCTGCCAAACGGTGCTCCAAGACGCCGTCAACCACCTCACCGACTCGGTGTCTCTCACGGAGGTCAACCAAGGCCTACAGCTCCTGTCTCCTTACAAAATCTCCGACATGCGGACTTGGCTGAGCACGGCCATCACCGACCAAGAAACCTGCTTGGATGCACTCGAAGAGGCCAACTCCACCCGCCTCGGCAACATGAAGCTCGCCATGCAAAACTCCACCGAGCTCACCAGCAACAGCCTAGCCATCGCCACCAAAATCATGCGTTTGTTAGCCTCCTTCAACGCCCCCATCCACCGGAGGTTGCTAGGGTTCAGAGCCAGGTCCGTTTTCCCAAGCTGGGTTGGCCCGGCTGACCGGAGACTTCTCCAAGAGGTGAACCTGAGGCCGAACTTGACGGTGGCGCAAGACGGGACGGGGAACTACAAGACGATCAGAGACGCGGTGGAGGCCATACCTAAAAAAAGCTTGTCGAGGTTCGTGATTTACATTAAGGCCGGGGTTTATGAGGAGAATGTAATTTTGGATAAGAGCAAGTGGAATGTGATGATGTATGGGGACGGGAAGACTCGTACCATCGTCACTAGTGACCTAAATTTCATCGACGGGATGCCAACATTCGCGACGGCAACGTTCGGTAAGCATTGTTGATTTCTCTAATTAAAACAATGCTGCGTCTTCATATGTGAAATATGTTATCTCAATGCATAGCTCTAAACTTTAATGCATTGACAATGCACTAACGACATTGTTTTGTTCAATACCAGTTGTTGTAGGAAAAGGCTTCATTGCCAAAGACCTGGGGTTCGCAAACACTGCAGGTCCAGCGAAGCTCCGGGCCGTGGCGTTCCGATCGCAGTCCGACCTCTCCGTGATGTACCGGTGCGCGTTCGACGCATTCCAGAACACCCTTTATGCCTACGCGAACCGCCAGTTCTACTCGGATTGCGACATCACGGGCACTGTGGACTTCATTTTCGGGAACGCTGCAATCGTCCTCCAGAACTGCACGATCCTGCCTCGCCAGCCCCTGAGCTTCCTCTACGACACCCTCACGGCCCAAGGCAAGTCCGACCCGAACCAAAACACCGGGATCTCGATCCACAAGTGCAGGATAACTCCGAACGGGAACCTTACGGCCGAGACATACCTGGGCCGGCTGTGGAAGGCCTACTCGACCACGGTCTTCATGGAGTCCAGCATCGGCCCGTTCCTGAGCCCGAAGGGCTGGACCGAGTGGATCGCCGACGTGCAGCCGCCCAACACCATCTTTTATGGAGAGTACATGAACACCGGGCCGGGCTCGAACACGAGCGGGCGGGTCACGTGGCCCGGGTACCATCCGGTCCTTACCATGGACCAGGCCAGGAAGTTCACGGTGGGCTCGTTCATACAAGGCAACGCGTGGTTGCCCCTAACTGGGGTGGCTTTCGACCCATCCTTATGATTCAAAAAAGAGTCGTGTGTTGCACGTAAGTGGAAACTTCTTTCGCAGAGGCTGTCGTTTTCAAATTAAATGTGTAACGAAAGAGAAAAGCGAAAACCGCTTTGAACTCTTTTCAAATAAAGATTGGAAAAGGATGTGAAGAAAATTAGGGAAGTCCCAAGGTGCAACCTTATCATCCAATTACGATCCGATAGCTTCTTTTACTATGAAAAGTCGCGAGATATATGGGCACGTGACACCATTGGAAATCTAATCACCCCCAATATTTCCAAATTGGGTGTCAGTGAATCACTCTAATCAGCTAATTAACTTTGGCAAAAGTAAAATAGAAAAAGATTGATCAACTAGACCTAGATCGACAAAATAAGTCAGCATATTCTACTGTATTTTAATCGATTTGGCAAATTCTAAGGAAATGCTTGCCATGTGACGAGTCTCGGTTTCCAAAGTCGTTCAAAGGTAACGTTAGGTCATTGGTGTATTGGTACTAGCGAAATGATGCTGATCATAAAAAAAAGCATGAAACTAGAAAAAGGCATTTATGAAGTAACGAAGTGCAGCGTTTGTCTGCCCACGCCAATAACCATGCGTTTAAGTGTAATTAATTTCTTATCTACTATCTTAAAATGATCATTGTTACACATAAAATGGTTGATCTTGGATGATTTGGGGCATCACCTTCTAAAAATACATAAAAATCTTTCGGCTAGTATCCCCACAGTGATACAAAGAGGGTCACTATTATATTCGGTTGGATTTTGGATATTGCCTTTGATTTCATATTTTCTAAAGGCGGGCAGTTGCGTCGATAGATAAGTCTCGTGCAATCTTAAATTGTAACGGTACAGTTTCAAAAGCAGTGTTAAGAGACTTGATCAGAGTGGACAATATCGTGTTGGCGTCAGGATGAGGCTGCCGACAAATCTTACTAGAGTCAATTGGGTGATGTGAGTGTATATATGTCTTAGTTACTACGTCGCTTCGCTATTGATCGTTGATTTGGTAGATTGGTCTCGTATGACCTTAAACTAGCAAAATGCGCTTTCAAACTATGCTGGCCTGGGTGGGTCACAATCAAAGTGGACTATATCGTGTTGGCGCTCGGATGGAGCTTCCGACAGGTCCAATTTGACGTGCCAGACTAAGTATCTCTTCCCGATTTAGAGGCGGGTCTCCGGCTCGGAAAAAAAAACATTTATTGATGTATAATTCCAAAAGGTTGCTCTAATCGAAAGTCAAATTTGAGATAATCGGGCTGTTACAACAATAGTTGCCATTTGACTAACCCGGATTCCTAGGGGTCGGGGCAAGTAAGTGGTCCATGGGCATGGTGGACCGGGTGGTCCTTGATTCTCTAGGGTATAAGGCCTTTCTCCAATTGCTTGCCCCGTCGGCCTTCGCCTAAGTCGTAAATATGAACCCTTTGTTTTTTTGTTAACTTCTGCTTGAATTCCAACAAATGAAACTTTGCAATTAATCTCGAGGCATGGCTCCGTTTATTTCGCGAAAAATAAATTATCTAGAAAATATTCCTAAAAAGATCGATTGTATCGTTTAAAATAATCAGCCAATGACAAATATTTTCATTATCGACAATAATTTATATCTAAATACATTCATAGGTAATAAAAATATTTTCCGTTCATTCATTTTTATAAGAAAGCGATCATTTTCAAGAAAGTGTTTTCTAAATTATTCATTTTCTTCGAAATAAACGAAACTTTATTTCCTTTTCTTCTTGAAAAAGTCTCTCTTGACTAGAGAAAGCTATTCAGGCGTAACTTTGATTGATGAGTTACAAATTATAGACTCATCCATATATAAACTTACATTATGTAAAGGTAAATGATGTTCCCTTCCGGTGGATATTGTATAATCAGTCATAAATCTATTGTAAGGATGTTAATTCAGCCCTTTGGTCGGAAGGACTCTATTGGAATTTCGCGCAAATGTTTAGGACTAAATTGAAAAGTTTAGCACTGAATTGACATTCGTGATTTAAGATAAATTGAGTAATTTTCCCTCCCCGTCTGTAATTCCAAAAGACCAATTAAAGGAAGTTTTTATTTTTCGCATCATTTAGAATCACTCGATGTGCAGGCCAGATTAAAGGAACATTTACCATTCCACCTTCCCAAACGAGCTTAAGAGCGCACTCCCTCGCATCGGCTCCTGATACATTTAAACTTTTGCTTTTGGAGTACTCCTCACATGACTTGAACCTAAGATCACAGAATAAAGCAAAACCTTTATTACCATCAAAATCAACACTTTTTTAGTTGTGAAAACTGGAATTAACTACATATGATGTAATGGACATGTAACACCATTGCATAGCCCTTAGGAGATTGTTCTAAGTGCTGAGCATGTCCGTTCATATCGAGGCTTACGTTCGAATCGCAGCGTATGCGCATTCTCTTGGCGCCGCCACCCGACATAGATGCCTCAAGTAATTACCGGACATTTGTGTGAAGGGCGAAAACTATCACACCGGATAGGGATTACTTGGCTCTTTAAGCAGTTCGGGACATTCATTGATATAAAAAACACATAACACTATTATACGAAGTGTTGATTTTGGTACAACATTTACCACAAACAAACAATTAATAAGTAATTTTAGCAAAAAAAAAAAGAACAATTGATAAGTAATAATCCTATAATGCGTAGACTTCTAATCATGGCACCCTAATACATTGTTAGTGTTCTTAGCGAGTGCTCTTAAGGAAATTTGTACAACATTCCTCGTAAGAAGAGAATTCTTTTTAAAGAATAACAAACATCAAAATAGACTTCGATTTCATTCGCCTAAAGAGCCAAAACTAACTTCTTTTCTTTCACTTTCACGTCAAAAACTAAAATATTAATTTCGTTTTCGAAAATTATGAAAACTTCGTATATAGATCTAACATGTCGACGTTAATATATTTATAAAAGTTTTCAATTACTAAAATTAGAAAATGAATTAAAGTGCATGGCCCCAAAGATTTAGAAAAACATAACAAAGGATGGGAGGAAAGTCGTGTGTGGGCCCTTCAATGTTTAATTTTTTTTAATGTAAAATATGGGAGGAGATGACTTGCCGGGCAAGTTCATTATTTATGACTAAGACGTTCAAGAACTATTTAAAAACTTGAAAAACGGTCTGAACTCACTGAGGCCTAAAGTATACATACAAGTGACCAAAGTTTAATTTAATAAGACATGTTGGGTGTATGATATATATAAACACACATTTAAGAGAACATATAGGTCAAATATTTGATTTTGTTGTTTCCGGCAAAAACAATGCGCCGAAGATGGGAAAAACCACAACTAGACTCCATTTATTTCGCGAAAAATAATCTATTCGGAAAATATTTTCCTAAAAATAAAAATAAACAAATGAAAAATATTTTTATGGTTTACGAAAAATTCGAGACATAAATTACTATCGATAATGAAAATATCTCTCATTAATCTAATTACTTCAATTTATATAAATAATTATTTTTTAGATCATCCATTCTTTGCAAAATGAACGGAGCCTTAAATTAGAATGCCTTATTCGTAATGTCACGCGCGCTTCGCTATGGCCCATGGAAAATATCGAAATCCGATGTCACGGCCGCAGATTACTTGATGTTCTTGGGGGCGTGGTTTTTGCTATTGCTGACGATGAGTTTTTCTCGTCTCCTGCCTGCTTCGCTTCGCTCGCACGCCCGCATCAAACGCTGTTTTCGAGAGAACAGCAATGGAAAAACAAGCGGAAGGCAAAAGCCAAGAAGAAGAAGAGGAAGAAGAAGCGCCTCTCCTCCTCTGTCAAAGGGTCGGAGCAGGACACACCGCGGGATGCCGCGACGAGTAGTTTTCGGCAAGTCTGCTCAAGAAAGCAATAAACTTTTGCATAATCCAACACACCCACCATTAAAAAAAGAACAATTAAGACCGCCTTGCGAGGTGGGTCTGGTCTGGCGAAAATCTGGTCTCAAAAGAGAGAGAGAGAGAGAAGAAAGAGAGGAGAGAGAGATCTGAACTTGGAAAGAAGGCGTGACTGGCCAAAACCGTGGGCGAATTTCGTAAGGAAAGATTGGACAAAGCGAAAAAACCTCGGTCCTATAGAGAGAGAGAGAGAGAGAGAGAGACAGAAGGAGAGACAGAGGGAGGTACGCACGCGTACACCCGCACGCAGAGGTTTCCGTCGTCACGTCACGTACGCCTCTCTCTCTCTCTCTCTCCCTCTTCCTTGATCGTGGTGGGTATAAAACGATGCGGAGATTCGTAGCAGAGAGAGCCCGAGACCTCCTCCACCGCACTCGTTCTCTGCAACGCCAGGACCGCCGCCGCTTGCTCTGTCCTCCTCTGTCTCCCTTCTCCTCTCAATCTCGTTTCTTGTCCTCCGCTTCAGCTCCCGATTCGCATCCTCCCATGGGCTCCCCACCCGTCACTCTCGATACTATCAATCCCAAGGTACCGACTTTTTTCCCCTCCGGTCTTTCTTTTCTTGAATTTTCAGTGCGCTTTTGTTTCGCCACCCTTTGTTTTGTGAGGGTGAAAACGACTTTGATTGGCCGCTTTGATGTTCTTCCCGACATGGGTTTTCCGTTGATTGGAAAGCGGGGTCATGTCGGGTTGTTCTTGCTGTCGACAATTTTTTTAGGCCTTTTTTTTCGTTGCCCTGTCGTTTTTAATCTCCTTCGCGTATTTTTTTTTCTCTGGGTGCTTGCACGATTACGGATTACGCGCTCTGTATGGGAATAAAGCCGTTCTGCTTTATTCCTGCTGGTTGTTTGTTCTCTTTATTTATGTTTCCTGTTTGTTTCTTTTTCTTTACCACCCCCCCCCTGTTGATTGGGCTCAAAGCTTTCTGATACTCTACAGGTTCTTGAGATTTGACTGTATGTGTATTTACTGAGAATATTGGGCCATCAAGTTAACATGTAGCTCAAATATGTGGCCAGATGCATATTGCATGTAGAGTTCACGTTTAAATCTTGGTGAAGCACTTGGCGTTTGCCATC